GGTTCAGACTTCATGATATCATTTGCTGCTGCGTGCCATTGGAAATTGCTTGGCGGGTCACGTGTGGCACACGTGACATAGGTTGCCAACCCCCGATATACATAATGCATATAATGTGTTTTCATTGATGCTTGCCTTCACCCATTAATGGCCGCTAGAAAATCCAGTATTCATTATGGAAATTAAAAGAAAAATCCAATATTAATTATGGGTTGATAAAAAATATCAGACATTACATTTTTTTTTAAAGTTTGATTCGTTTTCTACGGCTTATTTGCAGGTTATTTAAAGCCAGAAAATATTTTAGGGCCGGGGAGATAATACTGATTTATTGATACAAGTTTAACTAATTAAGCCATAGCTAAGCAAAGAAGAGGAGGATTCATGCCTTTTCCAAAGATATTTTCACGCAAGTGAATATAACAAAGCCGGCTGGAATTGGAACTCGGCACCACGATAAACAATTCCGAGCTATGATCAATGGCACCACCCACACATCCAAGGTTACAGCATCTGGTATTCCAAAGCAGTTACCCATCTAAGTAGGGACCAAATGCGATGTTACTTGACTTCGGTGATCGTACGTGAACCGGTTTCAACGTGATATGGTCGTAAGCCATTTTTCTTTCTTTCTTTTTTTAAGCTGAGAAGTGTCCGTGGGTAGCAAAGAAGATATTCTTACTCAAAACCCATGCATATTCAATACAGGAGGTAAACAGACGCATAAGTAGCAGTTCAGTTCAGCGTTATTTAGCTTCTACGGGGTATGAGAGCAGAAGACCCACCAGGGTGTTCCTGTTAGCCTAACAATACTCACGTGGGCTGGTGACATCGCTAACTGAATTCTGAAGGACTGTCAGTTCGTGTCGACGTCCGATCATTCATGTTTTCTCGTTGTAACGGACGATAGTGCGAGGCCAGTGTACTCAGTTGTCAACAAAGCATCGTACGGGCTGGAGGGTTTACACAATGGTTCACGTGGCATGGGTTCGGACCGTGAATTTGTCGAAACCACGCATCTGAGTACTTTCAACTAACACCACTATTTTGAAAGATGATCGCTGTTTGTCAAGTCAGCAGTTAAATTGATTTAAATATCTAGATCCCATATTTCAAAAAACAACAATAATAATAATAATAGTAGTAGTAGTAGTAGTAGTAGAATGCACGTACACCAACCAAAAACCTACATTTAAAACTTGAAAACCCTCCATTTGCATTTAAAACTTTGTAAAAAAAAAAAGGTCTGTCCCTCCATTTTTAAATACCTCGAAATATTTTACAAAGCATTATAAGTATTTTTAATAAAGTATTTTAACCTTTATAGATTTTCCTTGAAGAAAAAAAAAAACACTGTTTTTTTAATATTATTTATTGGAATGGTTGTCAAAAGGACAGTTTTTCCGTTGACACCGCTATTATTTTAACTACCTTCACTCCTCGATAATTTTTATTGTTTTAAAAAGTGATTATAAGTATTTTAATAAAGTATAAATTTATGAAAATTAATTTATAGATTTTCCTTGTACTTTGGAATTGGCAACAAAAATAATAAACACTATTTTTTTAATATTATTTATTGGAATGGTTGTCAAAAGGACAGTTTTTCCGTTGACACCGCTATTATTTTAACTACCTTCACTCCTCGATAATTTTTATTGTTTTAAAAAGTGATTATAAGTATTTTAATAAAGTATAAATTTATGAAAATTAATTTATAGATTTTCCTTGTACTTTGGAATTGGCAACAAAAATAATAAACACAATTTTTTTAATATTATTTATTGGAATGGTTGGCAAAACATCGACTAATTGTCAATCGAACTTTATAAAGTAGTAAATAAAAAGTATTTCTTCATATTTTTATAATTTAGTAAATGTTTATGAATTTATGAATAAAAAGTGTTTTCATATTTATTTCTTTTAAAATGGTAAAAGATAAATATTGCTTTGCATTAGTTTTAACGGTGTTACACTTAGGATATAAAAATAAAATAAGTTTTATAAATAAACAATCTAATATTTAATATTTTTATTGTAAATTCACAAGAACAAAAGAAATTGTATAACTTCATTTTCATCATATCTTTAGGTTTTTATTACATTTCTAAACATCGCTTTTTAAAGCAAGAAACATTCCATAGGAGTGAAGGTAGTTAAAACAATAGCGGTGTCAAAAAAAAATGCTGATTTTACCACCGGGATATTTAATGCTAGCGGATTATTTATGATTATGCCATTAATGTTTGTTGTCTCCAAGAAACCAAAAATGAAAGAAGTATTAAGAATATCGGAGTTAGGCAGCAGGAGTTAATAGCTTTGGAAAAAAGCAATGAATATGGTTTTGGCATTTATACCAAATGAAAGAATAGCATTCAAAGAAGAACCCTGGTATAAACACTTAACAACGATATTAAAAAGAACTATTAATAAAATTTTATCATTACCCTTAAAAACGTGGAAATAGTTATAGCGTTTTGGTGAGTTAGCACAGGGCAGGGAGGTTCGGAGGGAACTGATAAAGAGATATTTAGCAAGTTGCTGAAGATGACAGAACCCATTGATTTACTACGTGACCTCAAGTCAAAACAGCTTTCATGACGATGATGATAATGACGACACGTGATATTTAGAGAAATTAAACTGACAACATAACAGAGAACAAATGTCTTTGAAAATGGGTCGTGTTTGCCAAAAGTAATGAGATATGGGAGGATTCATTTACCAATAAAAATCAGAAGTCAGGAAAGTTATGAGAAATATTGAAAAAGTAAAAAAAAAAGAAAAGAAAAAATAATCAACGCAGAATCTTTGTTGTTTTTTGAATCAAACGTGCATATATATATATATATATATATATATATATATATATATATATATATATGAAGAAATATAGTTTTAAGATGTGCTATATTTAGGGGATAAAGTGCTCAATATAAGAGATAGAGCGTGTATAAATATAAAAGTGAATATAGAAGTCAACACTGAGACGCGACAGTCTGTTTCATGTTAGATGCAA